CTGTGCAACGGGTGGCGCGAGGGAGGGTGTGAGGGAGAGAAGGATAGAAGGAAGGAAGAGGGAGAACCAGGAAGAGGAGGAGGAGGAAAACCAGGGAGGGGGGGCGGGAGGAAGAAAGGACCGAGGGAGAGCGGTCAAGGAGGACGACAAGACAGGAAGAGAGGACGGAGACAGCTCGGAGGCAAAAGTAGGAAAGGAGAGAGGGAGGGATGAGGAAGGAGGAAGGAAAGAGGGAGGGAGGACGAGGAGGGAGAATGGGGATGATGATGACGATGATGACGATGACGATGACGATGATGATGATGATGATGATGATGATCGACCGTACCTGGGGGGCAACAATTTGGCCACACGATTAGTTGTCAGTGGCGTGCACGGCAGCTGCTACATCGGCGAAATGCTCAACAAGGTACGCAACGGTTCCGTGAACCAGCGTCGCCTTGAGCTTATGATGGGCGCGAAAAGCGGGCACACCCAGTTGCATGGCGGCACTGTGGGAGAGCGCACACGATGCGAAGTTGCATCCGTTGTCGGCGCCAGGGCCGAGTGTTCATGTTGAGGTGAGAGAGGCAAGGCCAGGAGTTCAGAGTAGGAGAGGTAGTGTGGGAATGAGACGAACTGCTCTCTGCTGCCAAAACTACGCGGTGTCGCTCCAGTGGCACGGATGCAATGTGATGATGTCCACCCTCCTGCGAGGGTCTTGCGCAGGCTCCACGGCCACACAGGCTTAATCGTGCGGATCACCGCGCGGCGTTACCCCCACCGCTCGCACACCGCCCCAGCATTCGAAGCATAAATGCACCATGCAGACAGACGCTCAGCGTAGCATTCGCAAATCCAGGTGGAAAAGTGAGACGCGCAGCGAAGAACGAAACGCACGCTGGACCTCCCTCCTGCGCCCCCCCCCCCGCTGCGCTGGTCAGTTCGCGACGGGCCGCCGCCAGCGCAGAGCGACGGAGCGCAACAAGACTGGATGAAAAGGTTGGCACTACGGAACAACTGACAAACAACAGCAAGAAACCATGTTCTGTCCTCCAACATGGCGCATTCCATTGTGCACGCGCCCAGCGCGCCAGTGGAACTTGGAAGGGCGCCGCTTCAGACCGCTCGTGCAACTGCGCCCCCCCAGCTTCGCAGCGCATGAAAGCCGCATCTCCACGAGCTTGCTGCAGTCATGACTAGCTCTGATGCGCGCCACTAAACCGCGCGCTTTGGATGAGAACAAATCAACCCATCGGCGCACTCTAGACGGCATGCGAAGGATTATGTGCAGAGCGATGTTTCTTCTTTGCGCAGGTCTACGATTGGCAATGAAAGCTGTAGGGCGCGATAGCTGAGCGCCGAGAGGGCAGTGCTTCTGCGCCGAAACGAGCTGACACTAGCCTTCGACCACAAGGGATCAACGAGATGGGAAGGAGCCGCAATGTTGCCAGCCTCTCGGCGCCTCTGAAACCAGGACAGACATTTGCTAAAGCAGACAGACAAGGCTGCACAAGCCACGTAGCATCCGCGCCTCCTCCGACCAACCCCCGTGGAGACGACGACGACACCTCCGCCACCAAAGGAGTGCAATTCGGGCCCATCGCGGCGGCCCACACCGAGCCTGGAAGTGGGCAGCCTTGCGCCGCGGCTGATCAGAAGTGGAACATAGATAGCACCACGCCCCGCAGCAGATCAAAGCTGCGGAGCTCAAAATGCACTGACGCAAACAATTTTAGACATCCAGACGGCGCGCAAGAAGGGGAGGGCACCTCCCACTGCCAGTCGCTGCCCAGATGGAAACACAGCGGCTACATCGAACGGAACAAAGACAGGCGCCTGCATAACAGCTGTCTCGCTGGTGCTAGCCAAGAGGGCAGCTGCGTCAAGTTGGGGCAACTGATGAAAAAACATTCCTGCCCGGCACAAATCCCAGCTGGGCCTGGTGAGTGCGCGCGCAGACCAGTCCTTTAAGCCACTGATTGGCCGCCGAGACTGGGATCCTAGCAGCCGCGTTGCGCATCGAAAGAGGGCAGGTTTGGTTTGGATTCCGCAGGCACTCATGGTCATCACTGGTCTCAGTTCCTTCAGGCAGGAAGGCGAAGAGGGTGTCGTTCCAGACCTCTGGAGCATGGTGGCCCGCCACGGGGTGCCTCGGGAGTATCAGGACCTCCGAGACCGCTCCTGCCTGCTGTTGCCTTCCTCGCAGCGCACGTTGCGCTGCGCGCGCGGCACACTTGCGGTCGGCCTGGCGCTCTGCAGCGCGTTGCGAACGAAATTGACGGCGGACAGAATCGGGCTGCCGACGCTGAGACTGTTCGTCTTGAAAAGGAAGAAGCCCGGCATCCACGCACGAACTGGCCATGATGAGAGCTGCGAACTTGGCATCTTGCCTCCAGACAGCACGAGAAATACTGCCTCATGTGATGTTGCGCCCCCCTCGGGAACGCTTGTCATCAGCACGAAATGGAAGTCGCGCGATTAATCTCGCGTTTGTTTGTGCACCACAGCCAACAGATCGTTCAATTGCTGCCATCTGGGAACAGGAAGAAAGCGATCCAGGTCGGCATCAAACATGAGCATTTCCAGGATAACATGCTACCTTACGTCGCTGAACACCGCACCAGAGATGCAGTGGTCCGCGGCGCCTTCTAGCGCCTGGAAGTTCCGATTGAGCAGCAGCGCGGCATGCTCGGAGAGCTTCCCCTGGGAGCTCGCAAGCTGGACGTGGCCCGCATTCTGGCGGACAGCCGCATCGAGTAGGAAGAGTACCCGGGCGTCAAGACAGGCCCATGGCGGAGGCGGAGCGTTGATGGCGGTCGACGCGGGTTGGGATTTCAGCCAGCTCCTCCTGGGCCAGGACGACGAACGCACGCCAAAATAGCTCATTCGGCTGGAAAGTCGACGCGGACGGTATAGGTGTCGGCGACGGGGTTGGCTCGTTGAAACTAAGCAGCCCCCCATCACGAAGGTTCAGGTTAACCGAAGAAATGAACGCGCGTTGATGGGGGCCGCACTGATTCCACTCAACCGCATCCTTCCAAGCATGGGCAACCATTCGTTTGAAATGGGGAGCGAACTCATACTTGTGCATTTGTGTACATTCACGTTCAACACAGAGTAATGGCCAACAGCGGAGTCGACTCGAAGCGCTGCGCCCCGACCAGGGACAATGGCATGATGTTGAACATAAGGGCGACGTGCTGGCGACGCCAATTGCTCCAAGCTTGACTCTGCACTGCTCGGGTTGATACGCCAATGGTGCCAACTACCATTAAATAAGCCAAAACGTTATGTCGGTGGCGCGAAATACGCGCTGGAAGGTGTTGTTGGCGCTGTATTTGTCACTCCCGAGCTTGGCGATGGCGGCGCTGCCCCACCTGAGTTGGGTGGCAGCAGAGGCGTTGTTCCCGACCTCCACACGGACGATGGGGGTGGCGTTGCACGAGACGGCCCCGTCGTTGCCCACCTTCCTGAGGAAATGCCCCTCGCGTCGCTCTCCGAGTACTTCGGCGAGCTTCTTAGTCTGGATGTCGCGCCGCAGCGTCTTGGGGCTCTTGTCCGCGCTGATAAAGAGCGGAGTGGCTGCGCCGTTGTCGCTGCAGGAGAAATGCCTCCATTTCCCCTCTTGGCGTAGGTTCCTCGCGAGGGAGGCACTATGATGATGCTGATGATTGTGAAGATGATGGAGGCGATGGTGATGGTGATCGTGATGGTGGCGACGGTGACGATGGTAGTGGTACTAATAATGGTGACGATGGTGATGTGGGTGATGATGATGATGGTGGTGGTGATGGTGCTGATGATGATGCTGATAAGGTAATGGTGACGGTGGTGGTAGTGGTGATGGTGGTGGTAATGACGATGAAGATGAGGATGGTGATGAGGCTGATGGTGATGACGACGATGATGATGATGATGGTAAGGTGAAGGATCATGTAGAGGATGCTGGTGATGATGAAGGTGATTGTGCAGCTGATGGTGCAAACCACAATCACGGTGATGGTGATGACGAGGATGGCGATGGTGATGCTGGTAATGATGGTCATGGTGAAGATGCTGATGATGATGGTGATAAAGATGACGATGATGGCGAAGTTGACGATGATGCTCATGGCGATGATTATGCTGATGCTAATGGTGATGATGATCGTGATGGTGGTGGTGATCGTAATGATGATAGTGGTGATGCTGACGTTGACGATGATGACGATGACAAGTCAACGGTGCTAGTGATGGAGGTGATGGTAATGCTGATGCTGATGGTGATGCTGATAATGCAACTAGTCAAAAGACAGGAATCTGAAACATGGGGATGAGGCGGAAGAGAAGGATGGCGAGATGAAGGTGGTGATGATGATGCCGTTGATGACGATGGGAAGGGCGATGATGATGGTGAGGATGCTGATGATACCGGTGATATTGCTGATGGCGAGGATGATGACGGATAATGGCGACGATGATGCTGACGATGCTGGTCACATGGGTGCTGATGATGAAGATGGTGATAATGCCGATGATGTCGATGACAATGATAATGATGCTGATAGTAGTGGCGATGATGGTGATGATGCTGATGACGATGGTGATACTGATCATGCTGATGACGATGATGGTGATGGTGGGGAAGTGATGTTGTAGCTGCATTCGATACTGGCGGGGGTGATGACGGGAGAAGATGCTGATGATTGTCGTGATGATAAGGGAAATGTGAAGGTGATGGTGGTGGTGATGATGATGGATGGTGATGATGATGATGCTAGTCATAATAGCAATGCACATTCTGATGGTGATGACGAGGAGGCAGATGGCGATGGCGATGATGGTGATGCCGTTGATGATGAGGATGATGATGATGAGAAGGATGATGATGGTGATGATGATGGTGGGGATGGTGATGATAATCAAGATAATGTTGATGAAGATGATGGATAATGACGACAATGGTGATGCTGACGCTGATGCTGATGGTGAAATGCCAATGATGCCGGTGATGGTGATGATGATGGTGGTGATGATGA